CGACAAAAAAGTTCCACTGTTCAAAATATATTTCAGAAAATTTTCACATAAAAATCCAGTCTGTTTACAATGCAACTATAGAAACCATAATTCATAATATTTTTAAAAGCCAATGGGGAATATTACAGTCACTCTTCTAGACTGTAAATTGCAATTATACATTAATAATTATAGAGTAGTATGTAACGATATTAGCATATGGCCAAACAGGCAATGGTAAAACCTTTTAGATATGTACAAATCATGTACCATTGCAGGATTTGGGTGTTATACCGCGGACGATGCTCGATTCACTTGAAATAATATCGCAGAAAACAGATGCAACTTACAAAACACTAATTTCACGCAAGGAACTTCATGAAGAACAGTTATACAACTCTTTAGTTAATACGCAGCGTACTTCTTCTATCATACACGTTAGCGACGACAGCAAATCTATAAAAATTATCAGGGTAAACAGGAAGAAAGTTGAAAACACCTCTGAAACTCTGCATTATACGAAGCATGGTTCCTTTGGTCGGGCAATAGATGCTACGTTAATGAATGCATAAAGCAGCAGAAGTTATGTTGGACTCACCTAATGCGTATGTAAACAAAAGAAAGACGATCTGAGTACATAAACCATTGCGAATTTACATTTAGTTAACTTAACTGGACCTGAACGAACTAAAAAGACGCAAACGACTAGCGAACGCTTCAAAAAAGATCTCGATGTAAACAAAAACCTATTAACTCATGAAAACACTATATCTACCTTGAATAATGATGCATGCCATGTGTTATCTGGATTATGAAGACAGTAAGTTCACGAGATTACTGCAGGATTCTCTTGAATTTTGAGAATTTTTGTGTCAGTCCAGCAGATCATAACTTGGACGAAACTTAGAATAATTTATTTCAGTTAAATAGTCGTGACGACCTACGATTTTCTTAAAGCCAGCTAATAGAAATTGGGCCATTTACTGTGCAAACGGGGTGATTGAAATGTTTACTATAAACTCTAATTAAAAAGTTCATAAACGCTATTGCGATCAATAATAAATTCTATTATTCCAAAGAAAGTTGTACTTTCTGCTCCTATGTTCAAAACGTTAATTCATTTTGAAGAGTGTTCATTTAATGTCCGACGCGACTGCATGTAGACTGCGGATATTTATGCAATCATAAAATTTGCATTTAAAAGAATGCGTCTGTTGTATATATGAACTCCAAAAATACATAAAAATGTCGATGTAAATCTGATACTATCAAATCGTAAAAATGGAAAATACGTCTTTCAAAATGTATTTCAGAAAATATGACTCCTGCATAAAAATCCGCTTATACGTATATCTCTATCGTTAAGATTGTACGAAATTCCTTACAGAAATTTCATACTGTATTTCGTTAATCGCCCTAGTTCGTTATTAATTTACTAAACGAATATTTACATGCATATATAC